GATCATGAATTTTGCAGGCAAATTTTGCAGGCAAAACCCCAAAGGACATGTATAGTATGTATTCACTGATAAGTGGATATTAGCCGTAAAGTGTAGAATAACCATGATATACTCCACAAACCCAAAGAACTTAAAGAAGAAGGAAGGCCCAAGCAAAGATGCTTGAATCACACTTAGAAGAAGAAACAAAATTGTCATAGGAGGCAGAGGGAGAGAGGGAACTGGGTGGGAGAAGGAAAGGCGACAGGAATGGAGAGGCAGGGTGAGGTGTGGGGAGAGACAGGAGAGATGCCCAGAGGACCTTGAGAATGAATGGAAATCTGCAGCTGCAGGGGGTGGGTGGGGAGGTGGGAATCTTTAGAAAGTCCCAGAGACCAGGGATGGGGAGGCTCCCAGGAGTCAATGTGTGTGACCTTAGCTGAGATGCTTAACAGTGGGAACACGGAACCTGAAGATGCCACCTCCTGTAGCCAGGCAGGACTCTCAGTGGAGGGATAAGGACGTCAACCCACCCACAAAACCTTTGACCCAAAATTTGTCCTATCTAAAGGAAATGCAGGGATGGAACAAAGACTGAAGATCAATAACCAACCAATAACTGGCTTAACTCCAAACCCATCCCACAGGCAAGCACCAATCATTGACATTATTAATGATACCCTGTTGTTATGCTTACAGACAGGAGCCTAGCATAACTGTCCTTTGAGAGGCTCTACCTAGCAGCAGATTGAAACAGATGCACATACCCACAGCCAAACATTGGGCAGAGGTCGGGGACACCTACAGAATAGTTGAGGGAAGGATTGAAGGCCCTGAAGAGGGTGGAAACACCACAGGAAGACCAACAGAGTCAACTAGCCTGGACCCCTGGGAATTCTCAGATACTGAGCTACCAACCGAAGAACATACATGGCTCCGAACGAGGTGCCTGGTACATATGTAGCAGATGTGCAGGTCAGTCCCCACGACTGCCTTGTACTGGCCTCAGTAGGAGAGGATGAGCCTAATCTGGCAGAGACTTAGTATGTGGGGAGGAAACATCATCTCAGAGGAGTGAGGGAAGGACCTGGAGGGGAAGTAGTGTTTGGGATCTAAATAAATAAATAACTTAAAAATCTATCAAAAAAAAAATCCTAGGGGTGTGCTGATCATATATCCAGAATCTAAGAGAAATAACACATGAAAGGTGGGAGTCATGCAGCATGCCATCCCAAGAGAAAGCCTACTGACCTTTATTAGTGAGAAGAACATTGACTTCAAAACTTTCATGTAAGTCATGCTGGAGCAGAATTCAGGATGGGAGTGTGTTATTTAAATAGCAGTGACTGACTGTCTTTTCACTGTGGCTCAGAACAGTAAGCACAAAGTTGAGAGGAGAAATCGGCCTTATCAGCATTTCCTATTACTCAGTCCGTGCTTTGTGCCCAGCAGAACTCAGTGATTATGAATTTTTCATGAAATTATGGCAACTGATTCATTATCGCTCAACCCCGTATGCCTTGCTTAAATATTTAAGAAGTCCTATTTTTAAAAAGAGCATTTGGCAATAATTATGCATTTACGGTCTGTTCACAGAACTAGTTAAATGGAACAATGTCAAAATTGCCACACAATCCCCCGAATGCCACTGATCTGGATCTGTGTCAGATGACGAGTTTGTGAATGAATGATTCGAAGCATGCTCTCTGTACTCCAGAAAGAGGAGTCATCGATTTTACCTCCTCAGAATGAGAGCAGCTAAGCTGCTGAGTCCTTCCTACGTGAGACATTTGAGGTTGATCATCCTACAAAGCCTGGAAGAGGGAGGGTGGCCCTAATGAAGAGATTGGCAAAAGGTGAAGAGTATTGAGGTTGGTTGGTTGACACCCCAAGAGGCAAAACAGCCCGATTAATGCAGGCTTGGAGTAAAGCTGTACTGCTGCCAACAATTTCTAATTTTAAATTAAATTCTAATTTTAATTAAAAAATTAGTTTTTATTTAAAATTAAATTTAAATTTTAAAGTAAAATTCTTATGCAGCTCCATGTTTTGGCATGAACTCTGACCCTTGCTATCAGCTTGAGGGTGCTAACTTGTGAGTGCTGCAAATATTACCACAGAGAAAGCTGCCTATCCATCTGGAGCCACTTATAGGACAGCATTTAAAAATCAGGCATTGTGTCAGTACTCATTAGAAAATTTCAACTTATATTTATATACAATTAAAAATTAACTTTATAGGGATAAAAGCCACATGCTTGTTTTCAAAACAAAAGAAATTTAAACTAAAAGCAGACAAAAAAAAATCATCCACACTTTCAAATCGAAACATCAATTTTGTTAGTAACTTGGCATATAATAAAACCCCTCTTCTAGTATATACATATAACAAATCTGTTTACTTGAATTTTTTATGGTTTAGCTTGAGTTAATTTATCAATACATTGGGCCAATTGCATTTATCTATAAGGAAGCTACCCAGAAACAAACTAAACATACCCAAGATTTTCCATTTGTAAGATAAGAATCATGACATCAGCATCTACAGAGATGTAGACCTCACTCTCTTATATAAATGCTCACCCTTAAGGCAGCTACATGAGTCCCAGTGGGGGCGCTGAGCCCACTAAACTGAGAATCTGTGAGTGTAAATGACACATCATCTTCTGCCCCATCATTGCAAAGTCTGAAGAATCAGAGATGAACTTCCACTCAGCAGAATGAATATTTGCTTAGTAAGCTGATGGAGAAGCGTTGGAGGGTCAGTGGAAGGACGGGGCTGCCTCTACTGTGTATCTTTTGGGAGTGGCCACATTTTGAGTACTGACCATGTGTTTAGTGGGTGTTTATGGGTGGAAAGAGAAAATAGTGGAGAGAAACCATCTCCGCTGCCCCCTCTAGGCTTTCTTAAGAAGTCTAGCTTCCCTTTTGATGGCTTTTCTCCCCAATCAGCCTGCACATTTCTGGCACTGTGAAGTCTAGCAGCAGGGAGGAAGTCAAAAACATTCTTTCTGAGATGTTTTTCTTGATATTATTTCATCTATGTGGATTAATGTTTTGCCTGCTTCTACGTTCTGTGCACACAAATGATATTCTGGGACAGTGGACTGGACTCCTGGTGGTCAGGGCCATTCCTGTAACACTGTGGTCCCAGACTCTGCTTTCTTTGCTTTGTATCTGTGCATGCTTTGATCTTTAAGATCAAGGCTCTCTAATCTGCTCTAAGCTATGATTCTAACTCTGAAACACACGTTGTTCAAAACTCACAAGTCAAGCCCTTTCTGGCTCTGTTCATCCCAGGTACTCTCCACATGGACACCCCAACCGTCTCATCTTCACATGCTTAAATCTGACCTTCAGCACACCTGTGGCTGACATTGGAGTTCAGGGCTGGAAGGCCATGAGTCAATCACAGCTTTCTTTGACCACTCATACCAGGTGTGTAGTATAACTGTAATCTCAATATTTGGGACGTAGAGACAGGAGGGTCAGGAGTTCAAGGCCAGTTTAGGCTACACAGTGAGTTTAAGACTATCATTCTAGAGCCGGAGAGATGGTTCAGCAGTTAAGGGCACTGATTGTTCTTTCAGAGGTCCTGAGTTCAATTCCCAGCAACCACATGGTGGCTCACAGCCATTTGTAATGAAATCTGATGGCCTCTTCTGGTGTGTCTGAACACAGCAACAGTGTACTTGTGTACATTAAATAAATCTTAAAAAAAAAGACCATCCTAAATTACATGAGACCCAGCCTTGAAGAAGAAGCAGGAGAAGAGGGAGGAGGAGGAGGAAAGGGAAGAAAAAAAATCCCACTTGGGGGAAAGTCCCATTATCATTGTGTGCATTGAAAAAAATAAATTTATCACCTGGGCCTTAGCTGCTTTAGTGTAGGGCAAACCCGGAATGAGGCATGATGGGAAGCAAGCATGTAACTCTGGTGCTCACTGATGTCATTTGGGGAAGAGGAAAAAGGGAACAAAGAAAAGAAGGGAGGATATTAAAATAGGAGTGTGTCAAGAGGAAAGCTGAGTGTGCCTGGGTGTATATTGTATTGATACTAGTTTATGAGTTTTTATTCACATCCTATCAGTGAGAGTGTAAGCTCAAAGGATTAATTGACTTTAATGGCCTTACTGAAGAGAGAGAGGCAGATTTGGGACCAGAGCAATGGTGCTCTGCCCTCTTTCACTGTATTCCATGGAGTCTGCTGCTCACAGCCTCAAACACTCTTTTCTAGCCCAACAGAGAGACATGGACACAGCATTTCCCTGGCACACAGAATAATCAAGAGGGGAAATGCACACCACAGAAGTAGCCGAGACAAACGACACACGGATAATCCTGAGAGCCCCTGGGCAGGCACAGGGCTGTGTTTCTACTCAGCTTCATCCACAGACATGTTAGTCTTCCAAGTTTTACATCATGATCAGTAAGAGGGATTGTTTAAGTTATTAAGGTCATTTAAAAAAAATCATTTTACAGATTTCTTTTCTTGAGATAAAGCTGTTATTACACCCAATATGTTGTAGAAAATCATCCACACCTGTTGGTGAAGATGGAGCGAGCACAGAGTACTCACGAACTCTTGGTGACTAACGGTGAATCCATCCCAGTTCTGGGGAAGATCAGGTGTAGTATGTCTGCATCAGTTTAATCAGTTTAACTGATGCACTTACTTTGCAAAAATATTTCCGAGGCAGTGAAAGAGAAACACAGCCGAAGACACAGTTATTTCTCTTTCAGGAAGAACTGAGCCTATTGTATTTCTGAAAAGACATCAATACTATGGCTTTTAACAGTAATGCTTATGAGAGGATTATTTTATGATGAAGTAAAGTAAAAAGTAAGTTGTGTCCCTTTAACACACAAATGCAATATTATTAGCCAGTGAAAATGAGAGCGTCACAACTGTACACATCAGCTCAGTGGCTCCAGTTCACAGACATCCAGTCACCACGTAGGACTCTCATGGAGTGCTGGCTTACCTGTTTATATGACGATCCTTACTTACAATGTCCTTACCTCTGGCTTGTATGCTGTACTTTCCTGGCATGTAGGAAGAGCTAAAGAAAATGTCAGAATTAGAATGTTAGCATCCCTGTGACAGCCAAAATCCCACTTATGGACGAAGTTAATGGCAACATCTTAAGCTGACATTTATAAAGTACTCATATTTCACTGAACTCATTCAAAGAATTGTCAGTTTTCTAAATAGCAAGGCATTGGTTTTTCCTCTCCTCTCTCAGGTCTGGCAAGTGTTAGCCGTGGATTTAAGGGACTGATGGGCAGTGTTTCCCTTTGTTATTTCCATGAGAACATGTCATAACTCTTTGCTTTGTTAAGCTGAGTGTGGTCTTGCCTTTTAGCTACACACATAGACACTAACACCCATGTTCCCCGGGGCTCATATTCTTTAAATTTCTAGTGGTGCAGTCAGCTACAGATAGGAAGAGGTGCACAGAAGTCCATGCCTTTTGATAATGTGAGCTGGATGAGAACAGAATGCAGGGGATCATAAGGAACTCCACACCAAAAGAGGGATTATGAAAATATAACAGAAGGCAATCAAAACAGCAAGATGCACTTCTAATTACAAAAGTGGTGTGGCCAGGATGGCTCGTCCCGGTCTGTGCTTTGCACCTCACTCTAATTTTCTAGGTCACTTTGCATTACAGCCAGCATCAACGTAAGCTCCAGGTTCTAATAGAATTTCATCTAATTACACGAGTCATGCTCTATCCCAAGGATTGTGCTACTGGAGCCTCTGGGCTAATTAAAAGCAACTTGACCTTTTCATAGCGCCAGTGAAATCAACTGAGTACGTATCTACTTTTTGTTGTCCCCGCAGAAGCCCAAGGACCATACAGCTGGCTCTATAATTGACAATACTCGAAGGTTATCTGAGGACCAGACGGTGCGGCCATCACCACTTACGTTCTTGACATCCTAGCTCTTGACTGGCAAAACCCACATCCCCTCACAAGGAGCTGATATATTGTTTCTGTTAAATGTCTGAGGGAAAAAACGAGTCACAAAGTTTCTCTTTGATTTTAAAGAATTTGTAGGGAGTGTTAAAAGACATGGGTGTCCTTATAGAATATTTTAGGTACCAAGCACATAGTTCATAAGAATAAACATGAAACCCTAAACAACTAAAACTGATGTAAAAGTGATGATTCACCTAACAAACGTGTCAAGCACTTTCAAATGAACCTGTGTTTGGGGGACTATAAAGTGAGGAGATATAATTTCTGCTTTAGCGGGGAGGAGTGCATGCAGGGAACACATGACTGTCGAGAATCCTAATGGACCTGACAGATGTCCCAGGAAAGGTATAAGGTGTCAGCTCCTGTGGTGTCGAGAGGTCACACAGGTGAAATTGCTCAGATTGTAAAGGGTAGGGAAGCTTGTTTTGGGAAGGTGGATAGCATTTCAGGAAGACTCAGAGATGAGAAACCATAGGCTATTTTATAAGACTCCAGGGAGAAAGTCTCACACAAATGGGGTGGGATGGATACTCTCTGTGTCAATTGAAGGCTCTTGTAGTAGTCCTGGCAAGAGTTGATGGGGCTAGTCTATGGGGAGAGCTGGGAGGAGAAATTAGTATATTCAAGACATGTTTTGGAGACAGAATTTTGAATTAGAAAAAGGGTTGATGGGAGAGAGAGAGAGAGAGAGAGAGAGAGAGAGAGAGAGAGAGAGAGAGAGGACTTCTTCTTGATAGGGGTGGAAAAGTTTGGGAATGATGTTGGAAATCAGAGCGGATTTCAGCACAACCATCTCATGAAGGGCTGGCTGAATAAGTGGGTGCACAGTGCACAGTTCTGGAGCCAAGCAAGGGGGCTTGGTCAGGAGATAGAGACATCGGAACAATTGACATGAGCATGCCATTGAAATGAGATCCAGGCCTTCAGTGACAGAGAGAGGCCATAAGATGAACTCAGAAGTACCACCAGCATTTAGGGCTGTTCAGGGAGATAAGTCCAAGGAGGAGACTTGGGAGAGGTAGCTAATTAGAAGAACAATTAAAATCAGACTTTGTGTAATAAATCAAATAAATAAAGAAGCTGAAACCACATGAGTAACTACCACAGGTACTGGCCAGATGAAGAAGTACAGTATCCTCTCATCCGAATGTGACTTTCCCTCTTATTAGAAAATTGCAGTAAGAAAGAATGTTGCATCAGATTGGGGCTCATCTAGCAAATAGCCCCCTAAGAGCTACAGAGCAATGGTTCTAATCCCTGCAGGCCAAAGAATAAGTTAGTTACCGAAGGTACAAAAATAGGACAGATCAAAAAATGAGGCAGGCAAAGGGAATAGGGCTTGGGATGTTCCAAGGTTCACAGCCCGGTAATTGTACAGAGAGCAGCTGTTTGCTAGGCTCTTGTTATGTTACTGGCTCTGTTTAAGGCTTAGATACCAACACCATCCAAACCATGTCATCCATCAGTGGTGACATCTGTCAGTCTGAATCCAGTAGGTCCCTCCTAATGGCCCTTCTCATCTATCACTAATGTGGACACTCCAGTAAATATTCATTAAAAATCAAGTCACCATCTCTATTATGGGCATGCACCATCAGAGCATGACTGTTGGGTAGCATTACTAGAATCAAGTTGCTATGGCAGCATGGGATTGGGCTTTGGAGTTGCCCTTAATTTCAGTTACCATCTGAAGAAAGGGTGGAGTGATACTCTGGCTCTAACCTTTGCACGTGACTGATGAAAATAAGGAGAGAAGTAAAATGGAGGAAAGTAAACAGTAGAATACAGGGATAGTGTGGTGGCTGGAGGGCATCTGATGAGGATGTAATATGTAAAGGTGACAGCTGAGGACTGAAGTCACAGCCATTAGCCAGAGTACATAGCACCAACTCAGAATCTTAACTTTGCAGGCTCTAGATTTTGAGAAAGCCACTAATTGTTTATATAGAGGGACCTTGGTCAAGGAATCACCTTTAACTTTTCCTCAGTTGATGTCACAATCAACTGATCAGGTGATTGCATCATCAGAAGTAATTACATCAACAGCTGCTCACCTCTCAGTACTGTTTGAGTGTGTTTGTGGGCTTTGATGCTGTCATGAACTGGGGACAGCTAGAAATGAGCCACCTTTCTGCAAGATTGATGAGTATCTATCCAACTCAGCTAATATTCAAGGTTTTACACCCCTAATTTGCCTGTAACATCCAACCATTTATAAATAGCAGAAAGACAGTAGATTCCAAGGCAGATGGAGATGTCCACACTTTCCATAGCAGAAGGTCAAACATTTCCTGTTTCTTATAAGTCATGTTGTCACTGTCTAAGATCTAAGAAGACATATGTATGTCTGCTGATTTGATACCTAAAAGGTGTTTCTGACTTCTTACTTGGCAACGGCAGTGGACTCTTCTGAGTGTTTTGGTTTTCTGATGGGCAACAAGATTCTGGCTCTGACTCCTTACCTGGCAATGGTAGGTGGACTCTTCTGAGTGTTTTGCCTTGGTGACGGGCAAAAAGACTCTGGCTTTGCCTGGTGATGAAACTCTGGAAAGCATGACATGTTTGGGTCAGATTGCACAGTGAATACAATTGGGAGCTTTTGGGAGTTCACTGGGATAGCTATAATTTAAATTATTTTATTATTATTCTGATGCTTTTGGAAACCAGAAGTAGTACCTTGTGGAGGCTATAAAAATTGCATGATTTACAATCTAAAACACACATGACTGGATTTTCCCAGAAATACAGAATACTACATCAGAAAGCATTTTAGGCATTATTATATGTGAATTAGTTTTGAAAGACTTTGGTTTTGTTATGAACTCATCCACCGATTCCTTTGTTTGTTGGTTCATTCACACAATTTAATGAGTCTTTGCTGAACACTTATAGAATGGGTTCTTCTCTAGAATCTAGAGTTACAGCAGGAAAACCAGATGTGGTTCTTAAACACAAAGGGACCATAAGCAAGCAGAGAAGGAAGAACATTTTGGATAGAATGAGTGACATGAGGAAAATAAATTACACTTTAGGATGTAGGATTAATCTTGTGTGGCTATTGAGGGCCTTCTGAGAGGTGGGTGACATTCTGCTAACAGTGTTGAACCAAAGGACCACTGTGAGGGTCTGCAGGGTCTAGGGATACCCACTGCCTGCACCAGACAACTTGTGTTCTCATTCCCATCCTGTGATAGGGCAGGTGAGTGCCCATGGTTCTGATGTAGGCCAGCAGGTACCAGCTGGTTACAATCTGTTTTTTCAATGTTCCCTCCTTGGTCATTGTCCTAGGTAACTAACTGTCAACGTCACACATCCTTCAGTCATCTTAAGGAAGAGCCTCAATTGAGGAGTTGCCTAGATCAGATTAGCCTATGTGTCTTTGGGAGGGGAGGGTTATCTTGCTAATTGACGAAGGTGGGCCCAGCCCACCATGGGCAGCACCAACACCAGGCAGGTGGGGCTGGGATATCTACAAAAGCTAGCTGAGCAGAAGCCTAGGTGGTGGGTCAGCTAGTGTCATTCCACCATAGTTCTTGCTCTAGGTTCCTGCCTTGCTTTCCTGCCCTGATTTTCCTTAATACAAGTCTGTGACCTCACAGGGTGACCTCAATAGCCCTCCTCCCCCCACCCAACACACAAGTTGCTTTTGGCCGGAATGTTTAATCACAGCAATAGAAGTCACAAGAAAAATCACCAGGTTCAGCCATGCCTCCACATTGGAGTTACTTAGCATACTATTACTGTCCCTGCTTTTCATCATGGATGGATTTTAAGCAGCCATCGATCCTTATGAAAGACATTGAATACACTCTGATGTGAGACTCATAAAGCACTTTTGTGACAGTGAGTCATAAAACCATGGAAGCATACACATACTGACTTAATTTGGGTGTTACTCTATGCTCTGCCCAAGGTTGACCACAGATTGGACATCTCTGACTGAAAGGACTCTGATTACTTGAAATGGCATTTGAGTCAGTGATAGGTGACACACTATCCCATAAAATCACTTAATCACACACCCATAAAATCACTTTTTGTCATCAACAGCTACTTGGATCACCTGCCCCTCTGGAGCTTAATGATGGCAAATTCTTATATTACTAACATCAAAGCATGATGCAAGGATACCTGGATGCCTTAGTGCACTAAAATTTATCATAGATTTCATTTGGTTTTACTTCAGTTGGTAAAAAATCCCCAGTTCTCTATCATGGCCCTTGGAATTCACAGGCCCTGCTTCTAAGTGTTTTAGCTTCTTCAAAGTAAGAGCAGAGCCAGCTAGAGACCCGAATTGTAAATACAACTCAAACCCATATAACTTTATTTCATCTAGACACAAGCTAGAGGGAACCTCAGTTGAGAAAGTGCCCCCCCCCATGGTTGACCTTTGGGGCATTTTCTTGATTATGATTGATGTAGGAGAACCCAGATCATTGTGAGAAGTGCCACTTCAGGACTGGTGGTCCCCAATGCTATAAGAAATCAGGCTGAGCAAACCATTAGGAGCATACCAATAAGTGAGGCTCCCTCACCCCTGCCTCCATGGCCTCTGCATCAACACCTGCCTCCAGGTTCCTGTCTTGTTTGAGTTCCTGCCCTGACTTCTCTCAGGAATAGAGTTTAAACTAGAATCTAGAGTTTAAACCTAAGAATTTAAAGCTGAAATAAACCCCTTTTCCCCAAGTAGTTTATGGTCATGGTGTTTTATCACAGTCTTAGAAAACCTAACTAAGGCACTTACTTGGTGAGTTGGAAAAGGTTTCAGAGTCCCAATCCATTCCTCCTTCATTGACCAATGTGCTTTGCTAATTCTCTGGGATATGAGGCTGGCCTTTCGAATGACAATTTATCTCTTTAAACTAATGGGGAACAGGATTTCCAGGGTAGGCATGAAGGTATGTTTTCTTCTCAGGGTCCTGCTACTTATCAAGCTTTGTGTGTGTGTGTGTGTGTGTGTGTGTGTGTGTGTGTGTGGCATGTGTATGGGTGACATTAGCCTTGGAGATCTCAAGGACTGTGGGACAGCAATGCATCTCCCAAGTAGCATAAGGTTACTGTGGCTTCTTTTGGTTAATGTGTATTGATAAAGACACTTGTCATGCTCCTGATTTTAATCATCCTCCTTACAATAGAGGATGTTGGGATAGCCTTCACAGTCTTACATTCATCTGGATGATATCATCACACAGACCCCAGGCTTTGAATCCTCTCTTTCCATTCAATGCTAATCCTATAGAGCTAGAACCAGAACCTAGTGAGATGGCAGTGGGGTGAAAAAAATACCAAACCGACAATGTAACTAGTTACCTTCTTCTGCTCCAAGGACCTGTGTTGGATTAGAAAAAGATAGAAAAGATAATGGTGAATGGGTGCAGGTAATGGAAAATTTAACCAACACCATGAATATTGGAAATCTTATCAGTGGAGTTTGGGGGAAAGTAGAACAGACTTTTAAGGAGATCTGCAAATAGTTTTTCTTAAAGACTGCATAAAACCCAAGGCATTAGCTTCTGTGTATGATGTAACAAACATGTAGTTGGCCAATGGTGTTAAAGGATGATTTGACTAGTAGAGAACTACTCACTCATAGTTATCCATCTTTAAAATTTTCTTACTTGAACAACTGTATTGGTGAATCACAGTTTTCTGAGAAACCAAATCTGGCCAAGCCGCAAGGATGCTCATGCCATTGTTCATTACAACCAGAGTACTGGAAATAGTCTGCAGGCCCAGAGAAGTAAGAAGTGCTCCCCTGGGAGACGGCTCAGCTGCTGACAGTGTTTGCTGTGCAACTGTGAGGACCTGAGTTCTGATCTCCATGACTCTTGTAAAAGTGGAGCATGGCTACATGTGCCTGTAGCTGCAGTCGTGTGGGAGGAGGGAGCCGAGATGGGCAGATCCTGTGAGACTCTGGCAAGCTGGACCTTGCCAAACTTCAGGGTTTGTGAGAGATCTTAAGGTACTAAGACAGACAGCAACAGAAGAAGAGGCTTGACATCTTCCTCAGGGCTTCACATGCACACAGATGGGCCTGGACACCTGCATACATACCTACCCTCACACACTTGCACAGTGGTACACATGCACATGCATGCACACAAGTACCCAAGCATGCACATGCATGCACGAAGGTACCCACTCGCGTGCTTGTGCACACACACACACACACACACACACCATACATACTAACACAAGCACTAATGCACGCACTAAAGCATGCATCACACACACGCATGCATCCTCAATCACGCAGAAATTGTTCATTTTGGACCTATACTTGGTTATGGAGGTGTTATGCAGGCACAGAAGATATCCACACTAATGGAGTAAGAGTACCCTATCTACAGATTGCATGGGGGTTTGTTTTAAGTGATATGCGTGTGGGTTTAAAGAAAGACTGTAAAGTATGTGTGTATGTGTGTGTATAGCCAACTACGTGATTGTGAGGCTTCTTTACCTTTTTGAAATTTAAAAAAATTAAATTTAATTTAAAAAGTGAACAGAAAATGTTATTTTATTTTTCTTAAGTGCTAGTATTCCTCTTTCCAAACAGTTCCTTTCTCTTTCTTTGATTGAAAATGGTAGACTTCCTGACTGTGATGAAGAATCTATATGTTTATTGGGCTTGCACTCTGACCCCCGCCCCCCACACATTAGCTTCTTTGAGATGGAGTTCCAGTATGTATTTGAGGTCTCAGCTTAAATAGGCAATCCTTCTGCCTTGGCCTCCTACGTGATGGGATTGCATGTGGGTCCCACCATGCCTGGCTTTACCTGCAAACTTCAAAGAAGCAGAGAGCTTTACATGTGTTCCGTGCCTCACTGCAAATAATTTCCAAAAGCCATTCCTGACACTGCCTCTGCTAGGGAGCCCCCAGGAATCAGATAGACAAGGAATTCATGAACTTGGGGGATGGAAAAGTCATGATATGGCTTAGGAACCTTTTGAGATAAAAATGTTCTGATAATAAACAAAACCATACCTTTTTTTTTGTGGGCATAAGTAAGGTTTATTATACCTTTCATCAAAATTTCAAAGGGTTGTAAAGTCTAGAAATATTATGAATCATCGTTTTATAGATAAGTTACAAAGAGGTGGGGCTCTTTGACCAGTTTCCCAGAGTTACCCTGAGAATAAGCTGACCTTGAGCCCAGCTCTCTTGATTCATGTTGGCTCTGGAGACAAGAAACCTTTAGCAGCAATTTGCTTAGAGAGGCATCCTGTATCTTGTTTGATGCTAACCAACTGAAGGCCCTTTTATTTTAAAGACCTCAGCATCCCCAGGATTCTGGACAGAGGGTATGTGTATCACGGATAGCAAATCAAAGCTAATCCACAGGCCAGGTATAAAGGGTAATGAATCTATTCTAAATGAGGGGTTTGAAAGTCTTCCCACTGAGTATTCCCCAGCAGCTCAAAGTGCTCAATCAGATGCAGCAGGAGCTCTCAGGCTTGTCAAAGGCGAGGGGAAGGAGACCTATAAACACCAGGAGTAGCCTGCCTCAGGGAGAGCAGTTGCTTTATTTTGTTGGGGCCCAGCTGATTGTTTTGCTTAAGGGCTTCGAATTCCACATCAAATACAATTAGAAAGCCACAGTGAAATCTCTCTAGTTCTTTTGTTAACTTTTTTTTCTGTTAGCAAACATATTTGAGTGAGGTAAAAGTGTTTTTCTCCTTTGTGCTTTCCCTCTCTCCTCTTTCTTTTCCTTCTTAACCTTTAAAAACCTATTTTCAACCTCTCTACCTTTTCAGGCAGAGTCACAGCCGAAGGGAGCAGATCAGGACGATGGGGTCTCTGGTCATGGTCCCCTATTCTGCCAGCCTTCCAGGCTTTCTTTGCTTAGGGCTGTGTGAAGACCACTTAGACTTCTGACTGTCCTGACTTAGAAAACTGGAATTCCATCTGTGCTTGAGTCCAGGCAGGTAACCTGCAATTTCTGCTGAAATAGATCCTTTTTTTACGCATGCAATCAAGTAGGAGCTTAGTGTGCCCACAAGCATGGCCCTTGCCCTTCCTAGCAGGCTTGTGTGTGTGTGTGTGTTTTCCATACTGGAGAAATGGTCTCCAGCTGCAGCTCACACAAAAACACATAAAGATCTTGGTAAAGTATAAGAATTTGACTGTTATGGTGAAGCCAAGTCCTAGTCCCCCCTCCAAAAAAAAAAGTTGCAATGAAAATTGGCAGCCCCTTGAGCCTCCTGTGCTCCCTGCTGTCTAGGATGATCAGTATCTTGCTTCTTGCAGAAATAATACACAAAATTCCCCCTTTGTTAGATAAAATAGCTACTTACCTTACTGAAGTCTTTTGAGCTTCTCTGCCTGAAAAAAAAAAAGAAAGAAAGAAAAAAGAGAAGAAAAGAAAGAAGGTGTTAAATAAAGGCAATTTATCATGAGCAAGATAAAATCATTGTGAACCTTATAAACCTTTGATTACATTTTCATGGCTAAATTAGCAGCCCATAGTCCAGTGTGATATTCATCACTGCCCTATAAAATGAAACCAGGCTATTTTTCTTGTAATTTTCTAGGGGAAGGGAGAAGTGCTAAGCCAGGATGAAGGCACACTGAAGGACTCACTTTCAGAGGGCTTGAGTCACTACCCACTCATCTTTCCTGACATTGGAGCTTTCATGCCAGATTTCATCAGCTCACTCAGACTTCTGCTTAGCCAGCTCTCAGGTTTTCATTTGGAGAAAGTGAGTTTTAAATACAAAGATGTTAGGGGCACCAAGATCCCTAGATGGTCAGAGAAAGAATGGGGGTGACAAAGAGAGAATGAGACCGAAGAAAAGCCATGAAACTGGATAGGAAGGCCCTGACTGTGCTAGGTGGATGGGTAGCAGGGCAAGCATTAAACATTCAATATGTGGTCAAGCCTCCAGTACTCCAGTATTTGTGTGTGCAGTGTATGTGTCTGTGTGCAGATGTGTGCACATGCGCAGACACACACACACACACACACACACACACACACACACACACAACTTATGTGCTTGTGCATGTGGAGGCCAGTGCTTGGCAGTGAGGTCTTCCTCCGTCACTCTTTTACCTTATTTTTTGAGACAGGATCTCTCACTGGTCTGCTAGGTTGGCCAGACTGTGAGCCAGAGGGAATCTGCTTGCCTCTGTTTCCACAAGTGTTGGGGTTATAGACGTATCTGCTGACACAGCCGACTTTGTATGTGGGTGCTGGGGTTCTGAACTCAGATCCTCACGTTGCGCTGCAAGTGCATTACCCTCTGAGCCTGAGGAAAGTTTGGCTTGCTGGGATTTGAACCAGCACAGTCAGCATGAGGAGTACTCAAAAATCAAATGCATTCATTTTGCAAAGGCCTTTCAAATATTTAAGTGGATTTAACTGAATGAGTAAACAAATCTTGCTCTCTGAGAGTCCCTAAGCTCTCTTGCTTGATTTCCTTTATATGTGTAAGACAACTGGGGTGGCTGTCCTCCTGTTAGATTATACCTTCACTGTACAAAGTCAATGATGAACCCTCACATATTGACTGGGACTCCAGACTTTTGTTCTCACTCACAGAAAGACTGCGAGGGCATTCATCCTGGAAGGTTACCAGAAGAAGAACATGCGACAAAACCGTGAATCTGTGGCATGCAATGGGTAAGAAGAATGTCATATGTGACCAGACCAGTGAGCAAGGCAGGGAGGGTGTGGGCTGAGTATTGTCCCCCTGCCTGAGTGTGTGAGTGAAAAGGAGGGCATGATGGAAGTTAAGATGGTTTCCGCAGTCTCAGTGAGAAGCTGGGCATCTAGAACTTTGGAATTGGACCAGATCAGACAGCCTGACAAACCTCGGCTGCTGGTCTCATGTCTAAGTAACTCCCTTGCTTTGGGGATGGTATGTTTGAGTTATATCCAACAGAATTAAAAAAAAACCACAGTAGCGTGTGGAAGTTCATAACTACATTATCCATAATAGTCAACAGTGAAAGCAGGGCCCAAGGATCCCGCTTAGTGGGTGGGTGGAGTGATTACTTAGAGTGCATTCCATTCTCTCTCCAGCACCACATAAACCAGGCATGGTGCTATAGGACTGTAATCCCAGCACTGAGGAGGTAAAAGCAGGAAGCTTAGTAGTTCAAGGCCAGTCTGGGCTACGTCAGACTGAGTCTAAAAAGAAAGTTTCCTCAGTCTTAATGCCTATCTCAAGTTCCTGTGGGATGGGCACATGCAAAATAAGAGATATTATGAATAATGAGATAGAACCAATATCCATACTGTTATTTATTTTGTTGCAAAACTGAGATTAGCCTCCACATTTTCAATGCTTGAGATTCTGGTGTGTCAAAGATGCTGGTGGGATGGCTTAATGTAAGACATAATATATACAAAGTACATTATATCCTTGCCAGCAAATGGACTCAAGTAACCTTGTATAATGATTTTTTTCCCTTAGTGCAGAAGCTGAGGCTGGAGAGAAGGCACAGAGTCAAGAGTGCTTACTGCTCTTTCAGAGGACACATTTGGTTCCCAGCACCCACAGGCATTAGTTGGCTCAAAGCTGTCTGTCACTTCAGTTCTAGAAATGGGGAGGGTCTCATCTGATGCTCTCTTCTGGCTTCTGTAGAAATCTGAATGCCAGTGATGTTCTCTCTCTCTCTCTCTCTCTCTCTCTCTCTCTCTCTCTCTCTCTCCTTTCTCTTCCTTCCTCCCCTCCACTAATAAGTACAGAGAATACATCTTAAAAATCATAGAAGTAGCTGGATGTGGTGGCCCATGCCTTTAGACCTAGCATTCAGGAGGCAGAGACAGGCAGATCTCTATGAGTTTGAGGCTAGCCTGTTTACAGAGCTAGTTTCAGATGGCTAGGACTACACAGAGAAACCCTGTCTTGAAAAACCAAAAACTGAAACCAAACAAAACCAAAACAAAAAAGCCCCAAACCAAACCAACCAGCCAACCAAAAATCCTAGACGTGATTTTGAAGTTGTGGTTTTCAGTTCAGCACTCGTGGCATTCAGCCCTGTGGAGAGTGTGGACTGTGTCCTGCAGTTTTCTATAATTACGTATTGACTTTACTAAATCAACAAAAAGCGTGAAGGGAAGTTTGGCTGGCTAAGATTTGAACCTGCACCGTCAGCATGAGCCGTATTCAAAAATCAAATATGTTCAACTTACAAAGGCCTTTCAAATATTTAAGTGGATTGAACTGAGTGTGTAAGCAAATCTTGCTCTCTATGATTCTGTACACTAACTTGATTTCATTTATAAGTGTAGGACAGGTGGGGTGGCTGTCCTCCTGTTAGATAAAGCTTTCAATGTTTAAAGTCACTGATGTACCTCACAAATCGAATGGAACTCCAGGACAGGTCAGCTTTGGGATCTTCCACATTAATAAACTGAATTTTCAGGCAGACCCCCAGCACTCTCTGACTCCTTCCATGTAAAGCAGGTGGGCACTCTGGTACCTGGATGCTCCTCTGTTTGCACTGGCTCATGTTGCTTTGTCGAGGGCATCTTGGCATTTCTTTAGTTTCCCATGCTCTGTCTGCCAGAGCTGGTCAATTAAAACGTGACCAGAAATACACAGGGAAAGTTCTAACATGTGTCTCCTTGATTTAACAGGTGCTTAGTTTAACTTTAAAGATACTGCTATCTTCTACAAATGTGGACTTTCTTGAACATTTTTTAGTTATTGGCGTAGTTTGAAACGGATTGGACTAGAATCATTGTTGTGTCATCTATGGCCTCTGCCGTCCATGATAAAGTAAATTTCCTCCATGAACCCAAAATTTAGACAGTAAGAAAGAGGGTTGTTGAAAGTTCTACTGAAAAAAAAAAAAACATGACTCTGTTTCGACTAAGACAGTGCTTCATGTCTGTGTACGCTCTGATGGTTGCACTTGGCTTCATATGAAGCCTCTAGTCTGAGATCACTATAGGATGCCCAGTGGGATCTGACATGATTCGGAGATGTTGTGCTTCTCTACCCAGTTTTTCCTAATAACAATATCTTATAAAACTATAATAAAAATACATATTATGACAATATATATTAATAATAGGTATATACAATAAAATTCATATAAAGATGTTGATGATAACAATTTATGCTTTCAAATCCTTAGTTTCCATCCATAAATGTGAATTGGTATATTTCTGTAACTCACACTTTCTTTCCTTTAAAGGGTAATGCTGTTTTGGATATTTACAAAGATTTCCTTCACTTCCTAAGTCATCATAGTATACGTTGGGGTGAGCTTGATTCCTTGAATAGATGTGGTTCCAGTGTGACTGGCAGAGAAGGAAGAGCACTAGCCAGTCTCCAGGGTGTTTCATGTCCTAAATATGAGATGCTTTACTTAAATTATGTTTTGGTTTGACCCCAACCCACAACCCATTTAGTTCAATGAAACTTGAACAACATGCCGTGGGTACCATGAGCTCTGTATTTCTGTGCCCTCAGTGTATGGGGTACAAAAATACTTTCACACGGTGTATCTGAGTGACTATACACAGAAGCCTGCACAAGGGGCTCAAGATACATGGTTGATTACTTGACATGTGCAAGGGCCTTGGTTCAATTTTAGGAGTACACACATAGACATTCCATCCAGGGGCTGGGTGCCATAGAACACAGAAAATGTGACTACTCAGGATGATGCTGTTGGATGTGTAGTCATTTGAATGAAAATTGCAAAGAGTCCCCAGCCACACCGTTATTCTTTGAGGTTTTCTTTCAGGTTACGTCCGGGAGAGGGTTCAAAATGCCTATTCAAAATGCTATCTTCTTTTGTAACAGAACAAATTTTATCCTGGTTCAAAGTTTGATTTGAAACAGCTTTTGTTGCAGTTGTTTATGGTTGGGATGTAAGTCTCTCTTCTGAGAAAAATTATTTTAAGTGGAAAAAAATAAGCTGAGGAAAAACATGTGCATGTATTGTCAGTTTTATAGCATTAACTGTTGAAAATGCCCAGCTAGCTTTGTGCACTGTGCCAAATTCTCCTTTAGTGTTTGGTTGTTCATGGAAGACCTAAAGGACATCGTCCTTCACTGAAATGCTGCCACCCAGCATTGTTTTGTGAAGTCAAGACTTAGCTGTGAAAAAGAGTGGCGGAGCTGGTAGAAACTAAAAGATCCCACAAGGAAGCACATCTACTATCCAGGGAAAGCAAAGGCAGTGGTGGAGGCCACAGCAATATTGTCTGCAAATTGGTGTTCTGGGAGCCAGAACTCACAACCTCTGCCTTCAGGCACCCCTCCCTCAGCCTCTGCCTTACAGAGAAGCCATTGTAAGAAAGGCACAGCATTCTGCATAGCCCCTTCGTATGCTCAGAGCTCTTGGGCTCTGCTTACACAGCGCATGCCTCGGGTGCCTCACGTTGGCTGTTTATGTGTGACCTGCATCAATGGTAATGATGCTTCTCATGAGGGCTCTGATGAAAGTGAATTGGAGGGGACTGTGCTTTTCCTACAGTAAAACCCTCTTGTTTATGGCTCCAGTCTCCTTCTGGGCTTTGCCTGTGTGCACTCAAGGTGCCCACCTGATTTTCTTTCTGAATTCTAATGATTTATGGATGTAACATTTACTGAGACTTTGTGCCATCTGCTGGCCTGGGCACCTGTTCTTCTCAGCCATCGGGAACTCATCCTTTTTAGCTCTGCTGGGAGGAGTTAGTGAGATCACATGAAATTGCTCTTTGGAGTTGTTTGTGATGGGAAAAACATTGCCTAATTCTCATCATGTCTAAAAATGATGAAGTTAATATAAACGATATTCCCAGAGAACCCAAAATACAAGGCATTCGCATGGAACCCAATACAACTACATTATGAGAACAGGGAACACAGAACTGTCTTTTCAGAAAATTGCTTTTAAAAAGATGATTAACTTTTGCTCTATGTATGAGTTTGACTGTATGAGTTTATATGTGCCACATGAGTGTACGAGCTCCCAGAGGCCAGAAGATGTCATTAAGCCTCTGATACTGGAGTTACAAATGGTTGTGAGTCACCATGTAGTGCTGAGAAATGAACTTGGATCCCCTACAAGAACGTTACAGGCTTTTAGGCAAGAGCTCTTAACTTCTAATCTTTCTCTTTAGCCCCCAGAAAACTCTTGATGAAATAATTCAATATGTTAAAAATGTATCAAAGCTCTGTGACAAATACTCTCTCAGCACAGAGACTGATAGGATCTGGCTGTAGAGGGACTCCAGAAATCAAGGGCATCATCTCAGACATTGGAAACCAGAGCAAGAAGGAGAGAGTAAGGCAAAATAACAGTAAAGATATCTGAAAAAGTCATAGGAATTCATACTATTAACTATCTACCTAAAACACCTAAAATGCACATAAATTAGCATATAAATATTCATTTATAGTTTAAATGAAAATTTCCCATCTGGGCTGAGAATGCTCCCTCCATGAGTCAAAGACTGTCTAGTCAAAAGCCCAACATCAGACATGAGAAACTCTTTTCAGTTGTTGGTCAGGGTTGTTCAAGAGGCTCTCACAATATTTTAGGCTGTTGCTATTGCCCTTGGTTGTCTCTAGAGGTAGAAGGGAAGTCCGTGTTGCTGAAGATACCATGCATGGCGTATGCAGAGCTCAGAGGCTCTTGACATGAATGCTTCCTCCCCGAGGACTAGCTTTCATGGTATCAGAAGACATCATGAAAGCATCCCAGAGAAGGAAGCAACCAACAGTTCTACCTAGCCATGAGGCCTATGAACCATATCAATGACCACCATGACACAATAAGTCTAAGAGTGCAGTAATGGCACACGTGCCTTAGTGGTAACCAACAGTTCTATAATTGGATTTTAGACCCACTAAACAGGGGGGAATCATACCTGGCACTAGAAACTCAGCCAACTACTCAGTAGTGAAGGTTTTCTTGGAGGAAAACCTACAGCTGCCATTTCACGAAACTAGAACAATCCCTGACTGCATTGCAAACATTTGTCCTTATGCCTACAGTCCTCACCCTTTATCAAGGCAATTTCCCATTGCAACAGACAGAGACATTGCAGAAAAGCACAGCAGAGTTGTGGATCCCAGTTCCAGTGAATACATCTACAAAACGATCCCTTACTTAAGGTGTAGGGAATATTGCAGAAAAGGTGATAGGATGATTGTAAGAGCCAGAGGATCAGGGAGTTTGCTGTGAGATTGTGTCTCCTAGCAATGGCAGAAGTTACACACAAAGTCCCACTCACATGACGTCCTAAGCATGGTCTGAACAAGGACAACAGCAATAGACCTGACGAAGAGGAAGAGGGAAAGACCATGTGGCTTAAATTCTACCCAAAGAACTACAGGAAACCAAGAAGTTCTGGGAGTGGGAGAAATAGTTTTCCTCAGGAAAGATCACACCAATTGGTTATCCAAAACCAAATGGTCAGCCCAGAAAATATACATACAATTGACATTATATAAACTGAGCAAAGGATAACATATATATGTATATATAAATATGTTTATTTATGTATAGGTGACTAATTATATATACATATATGAGAATGTATATTCATATGTAATATGATATATATATATACATACATATATAAAATTAATGTAACAAAAGTTAAAACAATAAGCCATGCATTTGAAAGACAGCAAGGAGGGTACATAAGAAGGTTTTGGAAGGAAGAAAGGGAAGGGGTAAATGATTAGTGATGTAATATTTTTATAATATCAAAAAATAAAAGAAACAATTGATAAAAATGTCTCTTTTGTCCGTGGTGTTTTATCACAGCAACAGAAAAGTTATTAAGATAACGGTTGTCTTTGGAAGCTGCCACAGCTTCAAACCTACTTACTTAGTCAGCATCTACCTCTCTAGGTTAGGCACTGTGCCAGGAAATGTGGGTGCTGAAATGGCTCAATCTTTCCTTTTGGAGTGGCTAGGCTGGCTAGAATCTTGGGATACTGTAGAAAGAGGGGATGCAGAGGGCAGAAAGGGCTCCCAGCCATAGCATGGAATAGATTTCAGTTTTAGTCTGCGCTGCTGAGTGCTTCATGGGAGCCAGTTCTCACATTAGCCTGTCGGGTGGGTGGGAGGCAGGCCAGCATCCTTCTTTTACCTATCCTTGATCTCTGGAAAGGTCTACACAGTAGGTCCCTGGAATCCTAAGGCACTACCCATTCATTCCCTTAGTGATGGGCTCTGCTGCCCACTTTGGGATGCCATGCAGCCTCCATGTCTCTTCTCTAAGTGGATCCAACTTCAAGTTTTCCAGATATCACTGCCTGTCCCCGTCCAGATCAAGGATAAAGTCACTCATAGTTGAGAACAAATGCCCCCAAACCTCTGACCTTCAATGGCTGCCCTCCAGCACCCTGCTTCCCCCAGCCAGACTCCACCTCCCTGAGTTTATACAAAACAGTTCGAGGTCATGAGAAGCAGAATCTCTACCACAGACTTCGTAATTATAGTTGAGATCTGTGTTTTCCTCTGTGCTAGGCTAAGGGACGTGGGGACAGCTGGAGAGGACTGTCCACAAGAGAGAGGATGCTTCTCTGAGAAGTTTGTATGGCTCTATAAAGAAAAAAAGGATAAGGGGACAGTCCCAGATAAGGAATAATCAGAGAATCATAGTCATTTAATATCCCTGTTAGAACTAGACATGGGAAGGCTTTCCACAGATGCTCAAACTGGCTTGAATTTCAGTATTCCCAAGGCACCATTCTACCTAGTCATGCCCCTGCTTCATCCCCCTGCTGACTCAAGCCCTCCATGAGAAATCCTCAATAATCCTGGGCCAGAGTAAGGAGAGGCACACTCCATCCTCTCTCCCAAAATAAGGGACTTTTGGGCATTCACTTTCTTGGATGAATATTGCCGACACATTTATGATTAGTGTCAGCTGGACCACTTCTCTTGCTGGCGAAGGGCTGGCTGGCAAATCTGTTTGGCAGTGATGGATTTTCTTTCCAGTAAGATGTTTAAGCTTGGTTATATTCCATGCTAGGTGGGTGCCTGGAAGCTGGTGAAGGGATGTCCTGGATTGATTCAGGAGTTTTCTAAACCTACTTTTGGTTTTCACTGAGTCCTGATTTCTTCCTGGCATTTCATATTTCCTGTGGTGACCAGTTCAGGTCTTAAGAGAGCAGTTCTATCAATGGCTTATTTTATTGCTGGGAGATGTGAAGGACCTCAAGTCTACCTTTCCTCTAGGCATAGTTCCCTGCCCTGCCCCCCCCCCCCCCCCATACACAGTGGTGGGGAATTCCGAGAGAGGATCTGTTCGGTTTCTCTCCTCTCCTCCTTGCGAGCCACCACTCCTGGTCATATCACCATAGCCGTGACAAGTGTCTCACCTGGGCCCCCTCTGGACTTCTGGAAAGGTAGGTTTTGGAGGGAAGAGTGTACTGTCCTCCTCTGGTGGTGTTGGGGGTAAGGGTTGGTACTTCTTGGGGAGAGTGGTGGCAGGCCTGCGGGAAGAGTCACATGGATAAGGATTAAGTTGGTCTGCAGCCATGCAAAGGCAGTGAGTTCACTCTGGCCTTCTCCCTCCCCTCCCTTGTTGTGGGTCTGAAGCTCAAGTGTGGAGGATGCATTCTGCAACCTGGACCATTCTGGGCATCTTTAAACCTTAGCATCCTCACTCTTCTGGAGTAGTATGCTCTGATGCTCGGTTTTCTTTGTAGTGTGTGTGACACTGTACTGTGTCATATGCTTTTCAACATGCTACCCAATTAGACCTTAGGAAGCTCTGGGGAAGAGAATTATATCCTCCTGCTTATTCCACACTGATGATATGCATTTCAAAAACTCTCCTAGGGATCATGAAAATGTTTGCAAGTCAATAAAGGCCTCTTTCATCCGTGTTCTTCAGCCATTCATGGATTTATTCACAAAGTCCCTCATGCAGTTTGGTGGATGCTCATGTTTTGAAAGGAAATAAAAAAAGACATAGTCCTTGGCTTAAGGTTCCCCCCACCCCCATGCAAGGGAAGAGTAGGAACCGAAGCGATGTTCTTCTGTCCTGATCTCATGAGTCTGGGCAGCTAGGTGTACCTACAATAGTCTCTGTCTGGTTTTTGCTAAAAACAAAACAAAAAACAAACAAACATACAAACAAACAAAAAAGAAGAAGAAGAAGAAGAGAAAGGGGAACATGCTATGTTGGTATCTAGGCAGGAAGATTCTGGGAAGAAAGAGCAGCCAGTGTAGAGACACTGCTACAGAAATGGGTACCTTCATGGTAATCAGAAGGTTGTAGGTTATTGTTAGGTGTTCACCAACATTGTTAACCACTATCGATCTGATACATGTTTGACCAGCTTGGTCTTAGGCTGGTGAAATGGCTCAGCAGGGAAAGGTACTTGCTATCAAGGCTGAAGACCCGAGTTTGATCCCAGAACCCATCTAGTAGATACAGAGGATCAACTCCTGTACGTTATCCTCTGACCTCCCAAGCGCACTGTGGCAGATGCACGCTACCCACAATAAATGATCAAATATAAAACATGGAAGTCATTTGCTCCAAACCTGAGTACTAAGAAAGAAAGGTGAATGGAGGGAGTTTTGCTCGCTGCAGAAGGACTGTCTGACGACGTGAATGAACGGAGGCTTGCCAGAGCTTGTTCACAGACCAGCTTCTCCAAGGCCAAATGCTTGTGTTTCTCTTTTTCAGGGACTGACATAAATCATTTAAATTTACAGCAAAACAAAATGATTAAATGTATAAAAATCTATTTCATATGTACGAGTGCTTTGACTATGTGTTTGTTGTCTGTGCATCACATGCGTACCATGTCTGTGGAGGCATCGGAGCCCCTGGGACTGAGTAACAGGTGGTTGGGAGCTACCGTGTGGGTGCTGGGGATCAGACCTGGTTCCTCTGAAAGAGCAGCTAGTGCTCATAATCTCCAAACCATCGCTCTGGTCTCACAAATATGATTTTAAATGTCTTACCGAGGAGGTGGCAAAGGAATCTGTGAAAGGAAACAGAACCAGGAGTTAAATTCACTATTTTTAGACAGAATTTCCTCCTCCTCCTCTTCCTCCTCTTCCTCCTCTTCCTCCTCTTCCTCCTCCTCTTCCTCCTCCTCCTCTTCCTCCTCCTCCTCTTCCTCCCTCCCTCTCTCCCCCCCCTCCTTTTGTTTAGGAGTCCAGGACAGAACCCAGGGCCTTATGCTTGCTAAGCAAGCACTCTACCACTGAGGTAAATCCCCAACCCCAGAATATTTTGATTTACCAATGAAAATGAAAAATGATGATTGAAATCCCAGAACACAGTTTTCAAGTGACATTTAAGCATCTCGCTGTGTCTACATGTCTGTGCCTTTGAAGAATAACCAGTACGCTTTAATATTTTTCACTTACCTTGTTCATATTTGTGTATTTGAATCCTAAAACATAAGACAGAGAAGCCAGTGAGCCCAGTAGAAAGCTAGAAAATGTCATCAAATAGTCTTAAAGGGACTCTGGACAGCTTGAGTGTGGGTGGAGCCATGTCTCTGGGAGGTCTTGCCCTTCTCCCCTTTCCCTTTGTCTTGCTAAAACCCATTAGATTACATTCCTAAAGCTAGTCACCACCGTGCATTCCTTTATGTGTCCATTTCCTCTTCCTGAAGCTGACTACCAGTGTCTAGCCAACAGAGTATTGAAGTCCAGTAATCAAAACCCCTTTTGGCTCACCCAATTAACATGCTCAACTAAAATTAAACACCTCATCCTAACAGGGTTTGTCATTTTACCTTTATAAACTACTATTTTCCTATGGGCCACATCTGCCTCCTTTCTATTCAGAGGCAGTCCTTTGTCCCCCAGTGACAAATACCCCTCCTCCTTCTCCCTCATTCACTTCTTCTTCTCAATTATCCTTTTTCCTATTTTTGTCTTACTCCCTGGTCTCTGTCCCTTTGGGCCAAATAAATGTCCTTGGTGCTGAGAACTTGGTCTTGGGGGTTGTGAACCAATACTTTTCCGTTCAACTCTTACATATGCTTCTATGGAAACCATTCCTATATTTAGTAAGATTGATGGCATTCTTAATGATACTTAGAAGGATCTGATCAGTTGCCAAGCATGAACCCTTTAGTGTGGGGATCTTATTGGATTCCCACCCATCCCATGGAAACAAAGCACTTAAGATGTGTGGAAATTCAACATCGCACAAGCTAGAGAAACAAAAACAGATGTCACCGTGATTGGCATGACTCTCACGGACCTCTGAACATCACCCTCTCACTATTCCTCATCCTTGCTCTTGTAAACCATCTTACACTTCCTGCTACCATGAGCTATGCAAGGTTAGGTTTATCTACATGACTGCGTGCAGCATTGCATCTGTCTGTGTTTTTGTTTCACCCAGTGTAGTCTTCAGACCCATTCATGTGGTCACAAATGGTAGGCTTCCCTCCATTATAGGACTGAATAAATCTCCATTGTATATATGTATACTGTCTCTTTACCCAGGCCAGACAGACAGATTGCTTCCATGATTTGCTTTGTGGATAATGCTGCAGGGTCATGGAATAGAGACAGCTCTTCAAGATCCTAACTTCAACGCCTTGGATACGACAGGCAGGATTCTTGAGTTGCAGGATCGAATTTTTTAAGTTCTAGAGGAAATTCTATACTGTTTTCCAAGATGGCTGTGCCAACTGAGTTCTTGCCAACAGCAGATACTGCCCCGAATCTTGTAATGTCACTTTAGATGTTGTTCGTGCTTAAAGCATCATTCCTCATTCCAGTAAGCTTTTGTGGTAAGCATGGCAGACCTTCCTGTTGCCCTGTGTGTATATTCTGTTATCTCTATTAAAATGTTGTGCTTTCTCAAGAATTGTTTAATATTCTCTCCCCTCTCTTAAAATTTTAGTAATAATTCTATCAACAATAGCAGCAAACCACAGGTGTCCAGCCCATGGCCTTGGGCTGCTTGTGGTGCAGGGTAGCTTGCTATGTTGTAGTGTCATGCAACATAAATGTACATATCTACTTACAAGCCATGAACCACAGGTTAAAGATGGATTTCCTGTGCAGTTCAAGACAATGAAATCTCTTTGCCCTGTGTGGCAAGGAAAAGTCAAAGGCCTGGGTATCCCTATAGCCCATCAGCCGCAGCAAACGTGTATGCTGGCAAGCACTCATTCGAGGGATTGCCCCACACTACTGGTTTATCCATTAACATTCCACGAGGCAAGTGGATAAGCAAACTGAATCACACAGGTGAATAACTCATCACATGGGTGTCAGCTTTTGAGGCAATTCAGCTAAAAATCTAGCAAGGTTCTTTATTTTCCACTAGGGAGCCTTGTTTAATAAGGCACCAACAGATGAGGTATTTGCAATAATGAAAACATAAAAGAAGATTCAGAGTGGGTTTTTTTTCAGACCAACCTTTAAAATTATTTTTTAGAAATACACAGATCAAATTCAGGATCTTAGGTCACGCTAAGCCAGCAACCTACCCACCTAACGACACCACCTGCCTGCCCCTGACTCCTGGTTCTGCTATTCACTATAGGTTCAGTCAGTAGTAATGAACCTATAGTGAATACCAGTCACTCCTGGACTGAGGAATCAGTGAGCATCCTCACCCACAAACACAGGGAGATTTCTTATACTGCCTTGGAATTAGTATGTGGGATAAATGAATCAGAGCATGTCAAGGTATGTTTCTTGTTCTTAAAAATCTATTACACTTTTCTGCCTCTTCTTCCATGGGGTTCTCTGAGCTCTGAAGGGAGGGATTTGATGGAGACAACCCATTTAGAGCGGTGTATTCCAAGGTTTCTCTATGTGTAATATCTGGCTGTGGGTCTCTGAGTTTGTTCCCATCTGCTGCAGGAGGAAGCTTCTTTGATGCTGGCCAAATAAGACACTGATCTGTAAGTGTAAGAGCTAGAGGGAATAGAGGATACCAAGAGAATAAGACCCTCCAATACATCTGAGCAAAGCTCATATGAACTCACAGAGTCTGAAGCAGCAAGCACAGTGCCTACATGGGCCTGTACCAAGTCCTCTAAGTATGTATTATAGCTTTCAGTTTAGTGTTTTTATGGAACTCCTGTGTGAACGAATGGGTCTTTGTTTCTTGTGTCTTCTCTTGAAGCTCGTTTCCTTTTGTTGGTTTGTTTTATTCAACTTCAATGTGATCATTTTTGTTTTGTCTAATATATAATTTTGTTATGTTTGATTATTAAAAAAGTTATTCTTTTTTAAAAAAAACTTTGAGGCATAACTTTTGCTACACACTTAGTTTCTACTGTGCAATAAGAGGCTAGAGGGGAAATACTTTGTGACTCTCCTGACAAAGGCCACAGATGTCCTCCAGTGCTGGGCAGAGTTTCTTGTCACTCAGACCAGAGGACCCACAGGGCCTACCTTGAAGAATTTCCCCTCCAAGTGTGAGGACGTGGCTGGCATGTCTGCCCTCTGGTGGCCAGTGCTGTAATCGGCATTCTCTGCCCAGAGACTGGTCCTTCCATTTTCAGGGTTTGGAGCTCCCATCACCAGCCAGGGGTCTTGTTTCTGGGAATGTGACTGGGGAAGAGTGCAGAGCATATCTGTGGAAGCTAAGTGGACCTGAACTTGACTATTTTAGTGCCGAACCCTGAGGAATCTAATGACATAGTGTTATGTGATGTTGAAGCTGAACTTCCTGGAGAGGGGGAGGTTTTTGAGGTCTGTTTGAGAAGAACAAATGTGGGGAGTGACTTGTAGCACATTGTAAGACCTGGATGTTAAGTGGGCAAGGGCTCTGTAAGCTGACATTAAACATAGCCTTTGTTAAAAATAGATCATAGACTTGTATACTCAAAACAAAGATTATGAACAGCAACACACTGCTTCTTGTGACTGTGTTATTAATATGTTCCACAGAGTTTATTGCTGATGCTATGAAATGGTATCTCTTCCAACTCTATGCTTGTAAGCACTCTAGTACTTGAAGCTTAGCATGCTGGGAGTATGTTCACCATGGGAAATGTTATAGAATCAGGGGACTTATTGTTTGGTCACTTGTCTGGACTTAAGAAAGTTCTAGAGGAAGTGTTATCCAAGCATTCTCCACTTGGAGCTGAGAATTGTTGGAGTTGTATTGCTCATAGGCGTCACACTCTGAAGAGTGTGCGTAAGGAAATATACGCCTAGGACTGAACTTGAAAGCTACTTTTCAGCTTAGCTTAGCTAAGGAATGCTCCACATCAATAATCCCTGGAAGCTGTGACTTATCTGCTAATGCAAGAGCTTGGCAAAGCCAATCAGAGCTGAGTGTGGAGGCTCATGCCTGTAGACCCAGCACTTGGGAGGTGGAGGCAGGAGAATCTTAAGTTGGAGGCCAGCCTGGGTTGCAGAATGAGCTCAGGAGTAGCTGGCCTCCATAGCAAGACTCTTAAAATATTGAAACAAACAAACAAACAAACAAACAAGCACATTTGGCTCTTTGAAACTGGGATAAAAGAGTATTTTTATCTCTTATTATTACTTTAAAAGTACACATAATATATCTCTCCATCAGTAACACTTAGAATGAATGACCTTATTTGTGTATGATTCTCTTCTTCAGACACCTGACTGTTGGGGTTTCCCAAAGCTTGTGATTGACTTTTGCAGTTACCGTGAAGGAGATGAGAAACTTGACAGAAATTACATGGCCTCTCTTGGCTTCTTCTATCCTTATCTTTGATTTTTAAAAGATGAGAAAGCACGACTCCTAGGAGCCAAGTCTTGATCCCTGAATAGAAGACACTAAGCCGAGTGGCCACGGACGGAACTTGTGAAGCCACTCAAGCTGAAGGTGAACCTGTCACTTACCGAACAAAATTGGTGACTTAAATGTTAAAATGTGGATCAGCAAATCTAATCCCTTCAGGTTTCAGGATTAAATGAAACAATATTTAGCGTCCACCTAAGCTTCCATCCAAATGTGTGCTGAGTACAGGCACAGCTCAAATATTACTAGTAACCTCCAAGTGTACACAGGCAAACGCTTCCAGAAACAGATCAGCTGTGTCATGTTCTATAATTACACAAATGGACTTAGAAGAAAGTTAGATAAAATTTGGCCTTAATCACAAAATTTATTGTGTCTAAGACTTTTATGACACAATGGACCTTTAGCATTTTGTATCTTGATGATAAATTATGGGCTAGTTCAGCGAAGAGACCTACAGTCACAGTGACTAGAAATGTCCATTTGGCAGGACCTTCTGGAGAAGCATCTTCAAGTCCATCTAAATCTTCAGAAATTAATTGCAGCAATAAATTATTGAAGCCATTCTTTGGGAAGCAATGTAAGGGGATCATGCTAGGCAAAGCCAAGGATGTTGGGGGAACCGACTGGCTCTTACATCCCTTTTGATAAGCTCAGGAGGTGATGCTTTTAGGAACAAGTGTTTCATCA